CCCCAAAAAGCTGTTTGATAAACTGCCTAAGAAGTCTGATACATTTCTTTTGGTTGTTAAAATATGCTATACAGCTGGTTTGTGTGATATTTAATCTTTATTACTGCACATCTTTATGTTTTGGCAACTGTTGGTTTGTCGTCCATGAAAGTTTTATCTTTATCACTTAATGAAATAACAATTGAAAGGCCAAATGTTGCTATAAATCAGAAAGGAAAGTAGATTCATTTCTCTCATGTCATTGTACTTCTACATTTTTTATTTGGAAAAACCCTGTTTACAAGACTCTGAGTCAGTTTTTGCAACACATTCAAAGGCGCAGTTACTGTAGGTTTAGGGATTTTAATCTGTATTGAGCGGCATGTTTATCCACAGCTTTGCTTCAGACTCAAATTCTTCTTCAGAGAGGGAGTTGGGGGTGGATGTTGCTGGTGGCAATGAATATGGGATGTACTGAAACGATTGTGTTTCAGAGACAATGCTCAATGTGAAGTGAATCAGAGCCGTTTCCCGGAGGAAAAACGAGAAATAACCAACATAAAAAACATGGAGATACTACTTGAGCTATCTTAAAACAACAAAAAACACACTTTGATGTAAGTATTTCATGGAGTGAGGGTTCATTCTAGGAGACATCAGACATCAGCTTGGTATTGGAGAATTTCCAGAGCTGAGTGGATTGCGTTCAGTTTACAGCTGTGTGGACACCTCCTGGGAAATCCATCCCTGTTTCAGTTTGATGTATGCCTGCTGAGAATGTCCACTAATGGTAACTTTGATAATCATTGACCGCAGACTTGTTATATCAATAGGAAATTGACTGAAACTCAAAACTTATTAGAGCACAGATCAATTAAACGTATAAAGAATTTGAGTTGGTGGATGGATGCTGGATTCACATGGCACCACTGAGCAACATTTCTCCAGTTGTTGACAACTTGTGTGCACTTTCTTTAGGAAATCAAGCTGCGGGAGAGTTTCTTCCCAAACTTACCAGTCATTATATATGAACAGGATTTGACAGAAACTATTGTTATATACTATAATTAAAAAACAGATCAATGGAAATAATTAAGAAGTCAGTCATGAGTTATAATTTTACGCACCAGGTGAGACACAAGGAACCAGACCGGTTAAACAGTCATTGCACAATTTAATTAATTAATCAATTAATTTTTGCCTGATGCTCGTTACAGCTTCCTTTCTGAAACTAAATGTGACCTGCAGTAATGGAGCCATGGTAAGTAAAGACCTGATGCAGGACTCAGTCAACAGAACCCTGAAGCTGCCCAAACAGCTGTTCATTATAATTTTATCAATTGAATTTGAAAGTGAACTTCTTTGGGCCCTTAACAATACTCATGTCAAGTGTGAAGCTGATAACATGAGTGGTTCTATAGATATGTGAACCACAGACAGATAGATTTCTGGAATTGGTCAATAGATGATGGTTTTGCTGCTCTGTCACCCTCACCACTGACGGGCCACTTCATTTGAAACAATTTTGATTAAAAGCACATCGGGTAACTGTTCTATTGTTGTCAGTTATGAAAAGCAGAAGGCATATATTGATTCATAATTTAACATTCGTCACGCCCAGTGAACCTTTGACTTTCTTTTTTCTGCATTCCAAGAAAAAACTATTTGCTTGCTCATTCAATCAGCAAAGTGGCTCAGCCATGAATACATTACTCTTGTCTGGACCTGTGACACATTAACCTTGACAACGCTACAGAAACGGAATGTTATCTGTTGACCGGGTCACATCTCAAAGTGATGACCCTCTCTGCCACGCTGTGAATAATTCATGCGAGACGGGGTGAGAAGGCGAGTAGAGGCTGGGCAACTTAAGAGCCTATCCATTGGCAAAGTGTACATATAGCACTCTCATGCTTAAAGCTATTGATTATGTGCCACGTCAGCCAGCAGCCTGGCAAAAGATTTCAAACACAATAGACAACAAGATGGCCTGACTGTCCGTGCTTGTTAAGTGTCGACTGGAGTAGTGGGGGCTGGGAGGAAGGAGAGCTGACGAAATGGAAGACATTCGCTAGGTGAAGAAAAACACTTCCCCTCATTTACATGTAATTCATGGATTCTTGGGAATAATAGCTTAATCATGCCTCGTCTCCCAGTGTGCGGGAAATGAGAAAATTTGGTGACGTGCAGAATGACAGACCCTTATAAAGAGGATTTGTCTGTTACACCTGAATCCATTAGGAAAGTCTCCTTCCTCAACTGTAGTAAAGCCGATTTGGAGGCTGCTGATAGCATCAGCAGGCATCAGGGAGGTGGCAGGTCTCGGAGAGAAACGGCTCTGCTGATATTTAGATATTCTGGGAGCTTGTGCATGCTAACGATCTTATTTCTAAACTTGTATTTTTGATGGCCTGTCACCTTCGGATGCAAATTTCATCTTTGTTTTGAATTTATTGTGAGGCAGCAAACACAAATGTTTTCCTCAAATAAACTAACGTGAAGCCTGATTTACAGCAGCCCAAGTTCAACTGAGTACAAAGTGCGAAGCAAAGACTGCTGTGCAAGGATTGCATATGTGCACAACATCATGTTTAAGCAGAAAGATTAACATTTGCGAAAATCCTTGTCACTTGCTGTGTTAGGTCCATGCATAATGAATTGAGCCCTGCTGAAAAGAGCACTATGACAGTTTCTCGTTCCCGTATGTGTCAAGACTTCATACATTTCTATTATTAACTGCTGCTCTCATCACATCTATCGATTTTCCATATTTTCATTCATTAACAGCCAGAGTACTAATTCCATTAATTCTATCGTCAATCTTCTTTATGGCGTCATCGAATCAATGACACATTTTAACATTGAATATATTAAATTACTTATTTGACAAGGCAGCAGCAAGAGTCTGGGCAGTGGTTTGTCACTCATGGTGTTGTCCATCTTGAATGAGCAGGTTTTACATATTATCTACTCATTATAGAAATAAGTACGACCTTCACGCTGAGTTTATCTAGATCAGAGTCTGCAGTGAGCCAGCTTGACAAGATGTGATATCTCAAGAACACCTAAAGGAAATGTCTTCAAATTTTGCACAAATGTTCACTCGGACTCAATGATGAACTGATGAGAATGTGGTGGTCACAAGACAAGGTCAACTGTGCCCTCTCTTCACAAAGCAAATTATCATGCCTTGTGAATGCGATATCTCAAGAATGCCCAGGGGTACTGTATATCTTCCAACTTTGGTTCAAATGTTTATTTGGACAAATAATAATTTTGTGATCAAAGCTCAAGGTCAATTTCTTCGAACTTTGTAAAAATATAGTAGAAATCTGCCCTGATCGAAGAGCTGACTGGTAGTCATATGCTAATGCAGTTCACCATGTTTCGCTCTATACACCTCTTCCACTCTCCTGTCACTTGATGTGGACACCTAAGCCTTGAACCTTATCCCAAAAACTACGACAATAGGCTCCACTTTTCCGGGAACATTTCCCACAAAACTTCGGAGTATGTGGCTGCAGGGGTCTGCTCCCATTCAGCCCCAACAGCATTAGTGTGGTTGGATGATAGGGCTGCTATCTTACTTATTTTGCTATATTTATTACAATTACATTAAAATTACAGTGTATAATTGCAAGAGATCATTCAAAGTACTTTGCATGAGCTCATTTCATCCTAAAGGTGTTGCAAGGGTTTGAGGTCAAGGCTCAGTCAAGTCACTAAACTGGGACACCAACATCTGCACTGACTTTTTGCATGGGGCCACTGTAGCAGTACGATTTCCTTTCCCTGGAACTATGGGTTTTATCCCAAACAATGAAAACCAGCCCCACACCGATGGTATTCAAGATATATGTATGTGGATGAAGCTGTCAAACTGCACCTAAGTGTTCTTGGTTAACTATATATACTAAGAAAAAAGAGTAAGGCACAGACCTAACATACAAAAAAATCATTTCATAAGCTCTTGCCAGGTTTGGCCTGCACCTTCCCCTGGCTCCACATTTCTATTTAATATATGTAATTACAAGCACTGTGTGCTCCTAATAAGCACAGAGAGCCAAGTGGCACCATGACAAAGCAAACTGGGCTAATCCCTGTCATACTCTTCTGATTTCCTTCCCCGGTCTGCTTCCTACCTGGTACAGGGAGCCTTTCCTATAGCGTGCAAAAATCTTAAAAAGTAATTTTTCACGCCGCTGCATCTCCCTGCCACAACACCTTACCTTATCAACAATGCTAACATGGCAACCTGTGCAATCTCTTCACTTGAACTCACGAGCAGTGTGATTAGAATGGCTTGTACATGCTGGAGCTTCTTCTTTTTGCTGACTATAACACAAGGACTGGAAATAAATGTGCACAAGATGCAGGATTGAAAATGCTGTGAATGGAGAATCATGGCTGTGGTGTGCTGCACAATGCAAATTAATTCACCAGTCAGTGAAATTGAGACTGGTGCAGAGACGATGGGTGGATATGTTCACTTTATTTTGCCTTGATGCTGTATTTTTTTTTTAGACCTTATGTAGGACAAGGTGGCATGGGCTCTATTTTAATCCCTGTCCAAAAAGTCTGAAAAATGTGAAAGACATAGTGCTGTCTGGGAAGTCCTTGAGATTGGAGAAAACACAAAGAATGTACTTTATGTCACAGGTCAGTGATAAAGATAAAGATTTTCCTAATAATTTTGCAGTTTATTTAATTTTATCGACCAAGACCATTTTCAAGGTTTGGTTATTTTTTTCGACAGACTGACAGTCACTGCTGGGACTTTCTCACCCTGCGATCACAAAAACAAGTCGTGCTTTTCCTCTCCTTGCAATATAGATGAACTTTTGCTTCTCATAGTGTGATCGCAGTGTCTGCCACAGCAGTGAGCCTGATTAATGAAGGTGTATAATACAAAACACATCACAAGAACATCAACAGCAGAGGCGGAGTTGAGGGAATGAAACAGGGGGAGGGAAGACAGTTAACACCCAGCAGAGGTGGAGAGAGGTAGTGTGTTGCGGTACCTGACATGAGGAAGGAGGTTGAGGAGCAGGAGACAGAGCCACAAACCCAAGTCCAGAGATTTGGGCTTCCAAAGTGCAGCAGCCATATCAGTATAAACAGAAGACTCCTGTGGAAATAAGAGGACAGCTGCTCAGTGGCTTGAAACAATTGATCTCAATATGTTTGTAGTGACAGATAATCACAGAGGTGATGGACATCAAATGACCAACATATTGAATATACTTTATTTCTAATTCTTCATTTCAAATTCAATGATGGTACACAACACTGCTTTGAAAAGATCTAATTGTAAAATGAAATGTGGCTCATAGGGAAAAGGGGAAAGTTGACTTGGATATGCATAGAGGTTTCATTTTTTGTCATCACAATCACACAAGAAATCAGAAGCACAACACAATACTCATTGATCGATACTGATTCAGAGAAGTGATGGATTTCAACAGCTTTATGCTGCTATAAATGTATGAAGTGATGATTGCTTTCATTGCTGTTAGTTCTGGCTCAGGTTAAACCCTTTGAAAAACAAATACATCAATTAAACGAATGATGACATTGAACTTCTTTTATTAATTCGTTTCACAGTCATAACTGAAAAAGAACACAAATGTATAAATCTTGAATTCAGTCATGATGCTGGAATACACACACTTCATCATCAGCACCTCCGCATTAACTACAGGTACTCAAAGCTTCATTTATATGTATCACTTCGCGCACAAACCCATATCACCTAATATGGAAAACTAGGGCTTATGGGTAGAGCAGCCTCAAACACAGCTGTTCTCTCACTGAGCAGTAGACGAGCATCATTTTCTGACAGTAATTAACTTTGCTTATAATGTTTCCCAGTCCCCTCTGAGTCCTAGATCCTAAACAAGCCTGGTTAACAGGTCAGCTTACAAAAGTCATATCAATGGTTTTATTTGTGACAGTCAGGAAAATATTCCCATAGTAAGCAAGACATCAGACCTGATTCATATTCATTATGTATGCGATGGACGGTGCTTAAGCCTTAGTTAGTCCCAACAGTTCTGCTGTCTCTCTTCTGACTTCTAATATACTGATAAATGAGGATTCTATATTGTTTATATTATCAATCTACTTTTGTTCAATCTAAAATTTAGAAATTAGGTCTGTTTAATCAGTAGCTCTTGATTCAGAAATAAGAGTGGCTGGAATAATTAGTAAATGCAAAGCAGTTCCTTATTTTATCTCCAACTTGGTTTTTTTGGTGATGAAATCAATAAGATTTGTGGTTAACACATCAGAAACCCTTCATTGATTTCCTTTTTAGGTAGTTTTTTTTCTAAAGTAGTTCTATATGGGTTCGTTATAAGAAATGAAGGGGAGGATATTGCACTTTTTTCCCATGAAAAAAGTTTATTTTTTAAATATACTGTGATGCTCAGCCAGCCTCATTATCATGTTTTTATTATACCAGCCCTAGCTAATGTATACCTATAACTACTACCATCACAGGCATGAGGATATGCCTGTGGTGCTACACAAACTGGATACATTAAATATTAAACAACCCATTTTAAATATCCCCAAACCAAAACCAAGAAAATAAATATAAAGCTCTGACACAAACATTATACAAATGCACACATGTAGTTTCCCTCCTCTATATTGGCACTCTCTGGATGTTGCCTATTTCTGACACTGTACTTATTGATTATTATTATGAGGAGGTTGCAGTCTTGCAGTTTACAGAAAGACTAAATTACCTCATTAAAAATACATGCACTCAGAAATTGGCATGTCTGCTATTGAGTGCTCCCTGGAAAAAAAAGAATAAAGAAAAAAAAAACAATACCTAGCAAGATCAGGGAGAGGAAGGCAATATCTGTAAATGACTGAGGGATAGCGCTTACGTGGCCACTTGAGCATGCACACGTGCAGCAGCTGTGTCGCACTTGAAAGGCTTTCATTGTGCTTTTGTGAGACTCATCCCTGCTTTATCGAACAATACAGAGACGAGATCAAACACTCAAACAGTGTGCTCCCTGTGTTCCTGCAGAACACCGATCATCGCACGAGGAGTAAACAAATGAGTGGACATAAAGATACACTTCAGCCTAATAGGAGGCTGCAGTAATAGTGCCCCAGCCTGTGACCAATCACGTATGGCACAGTTGTGAAGGCTCTGAGATGAAAACACTGTCCAGAAGCCATTTTAATATTGATTGTAGTTCAGCACCGAGTTAAATGAAGAACATAAGTCTTGATCCTGGCAGCGAGGAGTGTGAGCCAAAGACTTCTGACTTAGCAGACGATTATTTGAAAATTTGTTATGTGTGATGACCCAGGGTTGCAGAGTTTCTAGCAGTTTGTATTTTAGATTATTGTGGGGAGCAACAGTAGGAGAAACTAAGTGTTAATGAATAACATGTGACATTCAGCATCAGTACAAGCCTTGCCTTCTGTGTATGCATCAGATGTAACAGCTGTTCCCAGCTGATGTAATGGAGAAAGGTTTCAGTCTGAAGAAGTTGCAAGGCCAAAAGGGCTGGACTATTTTCACCACTTCCTCCCACTGAAATGAAATGAAACCAAACTATTCTAGATACAAATGTTGTGCTAACATCTTGGAGCCAGAGTCTGAGCTATAGTAATAAAAGTAGTGCCACGCACGCACTCGACCAATCACGAGTCGGTCTCAGTTGTCAACCGTGACCTTTCACCCCATTTTCATGGCATCGTTAAGCACTTTAACATACATCAGTGTGATAAGAACTACTGCAACTGATAAACTATCTTTGAGAAAAATGTATTTGACGTGTACTTGGACTTTTTAGTTTGGTGCATGTCCTTTCCACTAACATGTCAGTTTATAACCTATTCTGCAGCTAGCCAGCAGGTGGAGATCAAGAGGCACTGGCTTCACTCAATATGGACACTAACGCTAACAAGGTACATGACAAGAGTCAATATGTATGGTCTATTTTGCATCATAAATCCAAGAGCCACAAGATATTATTGATGTACAGATGTTTATAGACATCTCTGTTGACCTGTGACTTGAGTCCTTCTGGCCATAAATAAAAGATCCACCCATCCACCCACCTTCAATCTCTGACTGAGAATTACTCCTGTGGGTTGCTTCTGTAACATGGACAGAAATAATGACGGCCCCACACAAGCAAACATTTTCCATGTAACCTGACCTGGATATCTCAACCAGAAATCAAGAATAACCTGGTTGTTCTACATGCATTCACCCAACACCCCTTAAAAAACTGAGTTGAGTGGCAACATTTAGAGCAAAATCTCCTTATGAACAGATGTCTCATGCTCAAGGGAAGGCCAAGTTCCAGACTGTGTTAAATTAAACCAATCTTTCCAGGCTCAATAAATGCTGGTAAACACAAACATACTGCAGTTCCAAGAGCTTTTTTTCCCTTCTTTTAGCTCATTTGACAGTGTTTCTTCCAGGTTTCGTTAGCACGAGGGGCAACCTTAAAGGAACAAAAACTCTGAATATAGCCTTAACTGTATCAGGGTGGCTCCTCCTGGCCCCCTTTGGCTGCTCTACTGCCTTACTCTGTGCTGGTCAACAAGTTATTCTGCTCCGCTGCTATTTTCTAATTACTCACACGTAGAGCTGATCTTTATAATAACCTGTTGTGTTAATATAATTGTTGCTGGATCAGCAGGGCGTCGCTTCTGCAGCGATGAAGTTAAAGTAACACAGCGTGTGTGTGTCTGCTGACAATCACGTTTATTTACTTATTAATCGATGGTGTCGTATTGTGAATCCAGATTGCACTGGAGTCTGTGTCTTGTGATGTGTGTGTTTTTTTCAGTGTGTTTGAATACTTGTCTCACAAACTCTAGAGCAAATCAAACCAAACCAAAAGGAAACAGTACAAGTACTGTACAGATCCTAATAACTTCTGATTAGTGTTGGTGTTTATTGTTAGTGTTAGGTGAATGGGGAGTGTGGAGGGAGAACATACGACAGGGTACGAAGATACCAGGCCTATAATGTGTGTCTGCCCTAATCCTGAAGCAACTGTGGTAATAATTTTGCACTATTGCAAAATGAGTGTGGTGAGAACCCTGTGTCATATTAGACATCAGTGTTTGCAACTATAATTCTTTCTCTACATTTTGTAAACTGGCTAGAATTCATTCTGAATTGTTATTCATTATCTGAAGCGTTATTTTCCCCATTACAAACTGCAGGATGCCCTCTGGAGATGGAGGTATCATTTCCCCTTCTTATATTGTCTGTCTGCAAATTGCATTACTAATTTCCGGATATATTGCCTCCGATTTATATCATTTCCACTTAGATGGGGATCATTATTGTGTCTGTATCATTTTTAAGGCGCTGAATGTCCAGTATGAGCAAATCTTTTGAAATACTTTCATTCTTCTTTGCCCTCAGGTTAAAGCAGTTTGTACTTTGTTGTAGTTGAAAGGGAGGATGAGTTCTCATTAAAGAGACACAGCACATACTGGTGTAATGATGTGCTCAGTAAACAAAAACAGTTGCGTTTCAAAGGACTAAAGAGGAAAAAGTAAAGATCTAATTATTCTCATTACTCAGTCTATAAACTTCATCTATATCATCTTTATTCTGTTCTGTTCATGTTGGTAAACACAAGCACCAATTAGGGCCAGTGTAAAAAATCATCAGGAAAGCAAATCTTACAAGTGCTTTTCATAAAAATAAGACAAACAGGCATTAAATGACTGGCTGCCGGCCGCTGTCTACAATTCTGCACCCTACTCACCAGTACCTGTCACACAAACCAGGGGCTCAGCAGTCCCCAGGCTCAGATTGTGCTTCAAACATGCAACAAGAATGAAGGAAAAATAGAAATAGATGCGCTTTTGTTGGCAAATTAAAAATAGCTCGCCTAAGGTGACAGTAGACCTAAAGAGCTCTCCATTTCCTGCTCTTCCAGCATTTGTTTTCAGTTCTACTGTCAGTAAGCTTTTTGTCCGTGGTGTAAAAAGCATATGCGATGAGTAATGCAATCACTTTACAGAATTAAAAAGGCTTCAAACACCTTTGATTCAAATTAGCTGAGTAATCTGACTGGACAAGTATGCTCCTGAACAATACAGAGAATGTGTTAAAACAAGACACGG